CCCCTCCGAGGCTCTCACCATCTCGAAGAGGCGCCGGAGGAGGAAACGCTTGCGCACCCGGGGGGAGCGGGGGAAATTCAGCTCGTAGCACAGGGTGGGGGCAAAGAGAAAGTAGTAGAGATCTGCGAGGAGGGGGGCAACGTGGGGCTGTGGAACACCCCCCTGGGGGCATGAGGGCCCCCCCAAAGCGGGTTGGGGACCCCCCTGGGGAGGGGGGGGAGGTCTGCGGACGCCACTTACTCCTGTAGGTGAGGTTGGCTGGGTAGGAGACCTCGCTCTTCCCCACGTCCCCGTTGGCTTTCTTGGCCCCTGCGGCTGGGAGAGGGGGAGGGAAGCGTGAGCCCCCCCAGGGCGGGATGACCCCCATGTGTGTGTCCCCCCAACTCCATCACGGTGCCGTACCCACGGCCGAGCCATCCCCAGGGGTGGCTTTTGCCTGTCTCCTCTCCCGACACCACTTATTGACATCCCTGAAGGAGAAGAGCTTGAGGAAGATGATGGTGTAGATGGCCAAAGCGAAGACGGCCCCCACTGTGGGGAGAGGAGAAACGGCGGTGAGAGAGGAAGAAGGTGGGGGGGGGTCACAGCCGCATCCTGACCCACCTGGGGGTCACCCCGCCTCCTTTGTCCCCTCCTTGTCCTCACCTGGAGTGATGGAGGTGACCACAAGGACGACGGCGGCAGGGAAGCAGAGGATGGCCAAGAGGTTGAAGGCGTGCAGGGCGGCCCCCGCACCCTCCGAGAGGGAGCCCTGCAGGACGGGGGGGTGTCAGATGGAGATTAGGGAGGGGGGGGACACCCAGACACATTGAGGGGACACCCAGGACCCCTCCCCAGGGGCCACTCACCGCTGCCAACCGTCTCTCCAGGGTCAGGGCCACCACCACGAAGACGTTGGCCACTGCGAAGAGAGAAGGGGTTTGAGATGACAGCACCACGGCCCCCCGCGTTGGGGGTGATGGAATGGGCCAGGACCACCCCCCGGGCCATCCCCACTGACCCTGGGGGGGGGTGTCACTCACCGATGACCAGGCAGAGGGAGGGCCAACTGTAGGGGTCTTTGAGGAAGAGGGAGACCACCTGGATGGGGTCCACCAGGATCCCGTACCTGCGCGGAACGGGGTTGGGGGGCTGAATGGAGCCAGGGGGGCCCCCCTCGAACATGCACAGTTCCCCCGGGGGCCCCCCCCCAGACACCCACAGAACCCCAGACCCCTCTGTGGGGGGGGGGGTCCCGTATACACCTGCATTTCCCCACGGGGACAGTTCCTGCTCTGCCCAAATTCCCTCTGAGGATCTCAAGATCTGCCCAGTGGGATCCCAATGATCCCCCCGCCCCATTCTGGGGACAATGACACCCCGATGTTGCCCTCCAGCCCCATTCTGAGGACAGTGACATCCCCAACATCCCCCCCCAAGTCCCATTCTGGGGATGATGACACCCCTGATG